GACTACTACTGACCAACGCTAACAGACTACCTATTGTTTAAAAGGCCCTCTGGTGGCGCAAGAAGACGGATTTTATAAAATAAAAAGCAGTTGAAACTGCATTTTTATGAATAAAAATTTGACAAACTATTTATCGTTTTATGACGAGTAAATTTTTTTCTTCGCGTTCGCGGCTTTTAAGTAATGCATAAACCTTCGAGGCGCGAGGCCCTATGGACCGCGAGGCATAGGCGGTGGCCCACGTTGCCCATACGCCGCACTTGGTCATAGAAATGATGTAATTTGAATATAAATTATTTATAAATACGTATGTCAAGTTATATTTTTATTACTACATAAAATATATTAAGAGTTTATGACCACTGTGCTGCGTGAGACGTTGTTGAAACAAAAAAAGTTATGCATTCCATCACGTACATAAACAGTATCGTAATTCGCCAAGTGCAAATCAGCAAATTTATAAAATTTTTGTTTATTTTGAACAATCCGGATAATCGAAAATCCGGATAATAGAGGTCCGGATAATCGAGGTTCTGCTGTATTTCTAAAATATTTTTTATGTATTGCGTTGTTGCTTTGTACGTTATTTTCCGAATGTCTTTTTGTATTTTTTAAGTGTCCTTTGGGCTTATTATCAACTGCTGGGTGAAAATCAACTGCTTGATGGCATTTCCAAAATTCAATGCAAAATAAATATCTAAATAAATACTGTTTTCACATACTTAAAATAAGAAATAAATAAACAATAAAAGTAAAATAAACGAATAAATAAAAGTAAAATACAATTAATTAATTAAAAAATAATAAAATTAAAATATGTAAACAAAATCATTTCAACAGGAATTAGGTGTGAGCCTGGTACGAAGTGGCAATATATACTTTTATATATATATTGCCACTTCGTACTTTTATATATTGTATATATATATATACAATATATAATATCGATCACTAAATCAGTATTGATTTAGTGATCGATAATAAGAATGAGCAAGTTCTCCAAGAACATTAACGAGGAGTAGGGAGATATAAAGGTACTACGTTCATTCGAAGAAGCTTCTTTGTACTTACTTTTCCTTGTTATGAAGCTGTCATGCTCCCTGAAACCTTCCTCTCAAAACAGGGAATAAGGGAATAACCTGTTTACGTGTATGTTCTATTCTGCTTATCAGAGAAAACTCCTTCATGATGATTGATAATTATACTTTATTACCAGTTTAATAGAACTAGTTCAGTTAACTCCTTTTGCGTTCACTAATTCTATGTTGTATGATAAGATATAAATATAATATTGTGTATTTTTTACCAACGTATATATAATTTGTTGTCTTGTGAGTGTTGTTAAAGAGTGTTTTGCACGCTTTGTTTTGATTACTATTTTTTAGACGATGGAAGAAGGATAATCCTCTTTTCAAGATGCACATGTAATGTCAAAAAATTCTTTGAAAAAATTGATTGAAGAAATTCAAATTACATTAGAGAAGCAATGCAAATTAAATATGGCTGATTTAAAGGAATGATAAGAAGGGAGATAGAATGATGCGGTGGGTTTATGGTCAAGCAACAGCTTGTTGGAATCTCTGTGAATATTTAGATTAAAAAATTTATAATGCTTTCTTTTTCAGACTGTAGTAAAATTAGAATAGGGTTGCCCTGTAGACATCATAGCGTAAAAGACTACTTCAGAAAGACGAATAGAAGTGTATAGAACCCATAACAGCTTTATACATTTGAACACTCCCCTATGAAATATATTGAATACTTGGTATACTCTAATAGATATTGCTCTACCTGATTTAACATTGTAAGGGAACTCGATAAGGAATGACTTCAGATACATTGAGAGGATGGTATCTGCTGACATGTTTTAGATTATATGAAGTAAAAAACATTGTCTTAAACATCTTTCGCGGACTTTGACTTGTCTGCCTATTAACGATTAATTATTTTTTTTGAGATGCGGTCAAAATTATATCTTAACGTATAATATCAATATAGATCCTGAAAAAATATGTAGTAATTGTACTACGCACGTATAAGAAACTTGGGAACACGTACTTCATTGTGTAAAATTTAAAGCCAGTAGGGACAAGTATTTAATAAGGTTTAAGACTTGAAAAGATATTAATATATCATACTTCTCAAAAACTCATTATTACTCTATATTTTACTTTGTGTTATTTTGTACTAAATTATTAACTTGTTAAACATTATATTAGTATTAATTTTTGTTTTTGTAACAATTTACCCCCTTGTAACTAAGTAAAGTTCATACAATAAAGAATTGATTGATTGATATAGGACTTTATATGTTAATTTTGATAGAATTTATTTATTTATGTCTTATCTTAATTGATTTAATTTGCATTATTTGTGAATAGCAACGAATTGCATTCAATTCGAGAAGTTTCAAGCGTAATAAGTAATTAGTTAAATTTATAATAATTGCAAGAAAGATGTTTTTCGGCAAAACAGAAATTCAATAATGAAACAGATTGTAGACAATATATATCCAATTACAAGTAAAATGAATGGACTGAAGAAATCATCGAGAGTCAAAGAACGAAATTTAGATGATTTTGGTGGTGTCATTTCTCTTTCCAATCCTTCGACTTTATTAATAATTCCCGCTTCGAAAAGTCGAATAATTCTAAAAATAAGAAGAAACATTAATAAATAATTCTCGATAATTATTATTTTTTGTAGATTTACAATAAGACCTCGTTTAACGCTGATTCGATATGACACGGTCTGATCCTCGAAGCTAATAAAAGCTCAAAATTTACACTAATTCAAATTATCGCGGCATTTCACTGATTCGTATATAATACGATTATTTCCAAACACGAACCAATCAGCAAAAGGTGGCAATTCGTAGTAGCGCTGTATTTCCCCTAAATCTATGTTTGTTTAATGCAATTTCGGAAAAAATATAACATCATGGATGCCATAGGCAATATCGATTTTGTTGGCAAGAATTAACTGATAAATGCACGAACGGAGTGCGGAAGAAGTTATGGCTGAAGGTATCCAAGGATTCTCAACGAGAAGAGCCTATCGCTGTATAGTTAGGTTGACCAAATTGTCAACCTAATCGATACAACAGGACTAGATGTAGACGAGCAGGATATTGAGGAGTTACTGCAGATTTCTGGTGAGAGCCTTACTAATGACGACATTTAATAACTGGCAGAACAAGGAATTCATGTAGAACTAGAAAATAGTGATTCTGAAAATGAAGAACCCAAAGAATTTTTCCAAAGATTTCGTTAGTAAAGTTTGGTAACGATAACCGAAATCATTGATCAAATTGTAGGGAATGATCCAGATTTTGAAAGGAGTGCAAAAGCAAAACAAGGAGTTTTGGATTCGATCTCTTGCTACACATAGGGGAAGGTGGGGAAGAATGAGGACGTTAAGGTTTGAAAAGTCATAAGATGGCAGCCACTTTAATGAGTACAATAATTTTTTCATTCTCGGCAACCACAACATGTGGTAATATATAATACATAATTTAATTTTTAAAAAACGTTTTTAAAAACAAGAAAATTTAATATTTTAAAATTATACGTAAATGCGCCATCTTGCCCCGCCCGTGGGGTAAGATGAGGATATTATTTTTCGTATACAAGAAGGACAAATTAAAATGGTTAAACTGTCGTTTTCTTCAATATTGGCACAAGAACAATGCGCCCATTTATCACAGCGGCTACATTTATTATTNAACTAAGTGCAGCACACCTTTGGATTACAGACGATTAAAACGTTTTGACATTTTAAAAATTAATGATGAAGAGAAATTAATTGTACCATTCTAACCAGGAGAAACGAATATACAGTATTATGTTACCAATGATGAATTGTTCAGTATACTATCTGAAACTCACAGCAGAACAGGCCATGGAGGAAGAACACGTATGCTTAAAGAATTGCAACTTAAATACAAAAATATTACACATGAAGTTGTAATGTTGTATTTAAATTTATGTAAACATAGTCAAATGAAACATAGTGCACCTAAAAACGGTATTGTTGTGAAACCAATGGTCAGTTCGGAGTTAAACTCAAAATGTCAAGTCGATCTGATAGACCTGTAGTCACACAAGGATGGTGAATATAAGTTCATAATGGTGTATCAAGATCATTTAACGAAATTTGTCCAGCTACTACCTTTGAAAACTAAGACAGCTGAAGAAGTAGCATATCACCTTCTTCGAATATTTTTAACATTTGGTGCCCCAGCTTTATTGCATTCAGATAATGGTAGGGGATTCTGTAATCGAGTCATATCCGAACTGTTAAGATAGTTCATGGAAAGTCTCGTCATAATCAAACACAAGGCTCAGTTGAAAGGATCAATCAGGATATACAAAATATGTTAACTGCATGCATGAACGATAACAATACAAATAAATTGTCAGACGGTTTGCCCTTTGTACAATTTACCAAGAACACTACATATCACTAAGGAATATGCCAAAGTCCGTATGAAGCCATGTTTGGCATTAAACCAAAAAGACACATAGCATCGTCATCTTTGCCTGGCGAACAAATCGCAAATATTGAAACCGAAGAACAGCTCGAAGAAATTGTTAATACTTTTGAAGGAAATTTGAGCAGTGGCCATAACGAATACTACAGGTAACCCCCGTATAACACGGCACTTCTATAGCACGGATTCACTCTAACACGGTTCGAGAATTGGTACCATCCCCCGTATAACACGGTACTTTTATAGCACGGATTCACTCTAACACGGTTCGAGAATTGGTACCATCCCCCGTATAACACGGCACTTATATAGCATGGATTCACTCTGACACGGTTCGAGAATTGGGTATAACCCTCATACGACATGAAATGTAATAAATTTTTACATGCTTAAGTACTAATAGTTCACGAAAATTATTATTTTCGTGAACTATTAGTACTTCAGTGTATAAATTTTCTTTTCTCGTCTCGATACATATGGTTCTTCGCGAAAATTGTTTCAATTTTGCCATATCTCGGCGCTTCTGCTTCTGGTGTTGCCAGATGTTTTTTCCTTATTCCATAAGTGCTTAGCACCATATAAGGAAATTTATAAAGATCTTTTAACTAGAAGCAAGCAATCTAAAATTACATACACTTTTTGCAAAAGGTAAAGCATGAATCTGAAAATAATGCAGAAAAATGCT